TGAGTTGCCACTAGTCTAAAACTGTGCTCTTCTTGGCAAGATTACTAAATTAGCCACATGGCACATAACATTTATTATTTTAAGTTATTGGAGGAGCAACGTCCATCTAAATAAGTGACCACATCGTAATAAAAATCATTTAAAGAACGAAGGGAGGGAGGAAGGCCAGAGAGGAGGGCTCGGGAGAGCCGCGGTGCAGCCTGCGCATCCCCGTGGGCCTGGGCCGGCGCTGCGGCGGGGCGGCGTGGCTTCTCTGCGGAGGGTCGGGTCCAGCGTCAGCTCGAGCTCAGCTCAGCTCAAAGCCAGCAGCACACTCGATGGCGTACAGGAGTTTGCTGCGCAGCAGCGTCTCGTCGTAGAACTCGGGCAGCTTCAGCAGGTTCATGCAGGTGCTGGCCGTGGGGAGCCGCTCGAGGTCGGAGCCGCCGTTGTGGATGCAGAACGCGGGGTACAGCTCCTGGAAGACAGCCCATGGCACGTACAGGGAGCGGCTCTCACAGACACCGCTTTGCAAGAATTGTAAAAAGCACACACACCTTGCTCGCACTGATCAGTAAAATGTTACTGCTGCAGTCATTTCCCCAAAACCACACTTGCTTTTTAAAAAAAATCACACTGACAGCTTAGCTCTAAATTAAATCAGATATTGTGTGCTCACTTCTTCAAATGAACCTCATTTTGTAGATTTCACTTAGGAACTATGTATATGAACCAATAAAAAACAAAACAAATCTAATTAAAAGGGAAGAAAAAAGCAATCTCTAGCAACTGAAAGCAAAATGAAATAAATGAACCTATCAATTGGTGGCTTAGTCATATAGGAACTATTTCTAGTGTATTAGAATCACAAAAAAAATCTTAAAACTGTTTTCAGAAATGCTGTCATAATAAATTATTGGCATTGCTGTTCTAAACCCACAAAGTATTATATATGCCCATTATTCAACTAAATATTATAAAACTACAATTTATAGGGTCCTCCAACTTACTGGATCAAGCAAATGAGCTAACAGGAATCAAGATTACCTTTGGTAAAAAAAAAAAAAAAGACCCTAATATAAAGTCAAACAAATACAGCCATATCAACCTAAATTTGAATAGAAAACATTAGCTTGAACTGGTGATTGATTCTTCTCTTTTCTGTCCCTTGGAAAGGCCCGGAAATGACAGCTGGGCGGCCGAGAGCAGAGCCCGTTTCCAGACTGCGGTTCCCTCAGTCCCCTTCTCAGTGACAGGAACCGGGGCTCCCTGGGACACCTCCAATCCCGTGTGGGCCGGGACACGTGTGAGCAAGCGAGCGCTAACGTCTCGTTGGACCACACAGCGGGAAGTGAACAGGAACCACCTGGGTCGGGTCGGGTTAAGCGTCTCAAGAGAACCCTGGATGGAAAGTCCCTGCCCAAAGATGTGGCAATTACAACATGAAAAAGAATAACTGCAATGGACTGAAGCACGTCAAATGTTAAAGCCCACGACTTCGCAATCGTAACAAAGGAAATGAAACTTATTGGTTGCCTTTGGAAGATGCTAGTTAATCACACCCATGATTCTAAAAACTGGTAAATAAAAAAAGGTCAAGATGTATTCTAACCTTCTTGTAAAAACTATTCCTCAGGGTAATCAAATAGTTGATAAGAAAAAGTAAAGTTTTCCTTTATAGGAAATTTCAGCTAATAAATAACAGAATGACATAATTGGAGTATGGCTGTTCTATAACCACATTTAAGGAATGGACGCGGGCCGTGGCACTCAATGACTGCTAAACCCAGGGGCACGAGAGGAGTGAGGACCACGCCCAGCACTGAGGGGGACTCGCCACTCCAGGAAGTGAGACGTGCATCACATCACCTGTGCAATGCCATTGCCAAAGAAGAAAAATTCAAATTTAGACTCTGATGAGGCCCCTAACTATCAGTTTGTAAGACCTGCAAAGAAGCAACCCAGTTCTTCCATTAATTAAATTACAAGGCAGAACGCGAGGAGGCAGAACACTTACAGTGATGAAAGACACACACAACCAGTTACAACGTGTGGAATGCGGCCCAGCCCGGGTACCTGAATCTAAGAAAGATAATCAGGGAGATTTGAGCATTGATGGCATTATGGAATTAATGTTATTTTGTAGGCATGATAATGCCATTCTGGCTATTTTGTGAGGCACAGTGTAAAAATTCTCACCTCTGCATGGCAGGTACCCACTTACTTCCTGCTTCCCCTTCCCATGAGAAAGCAGTGGTATCAGTGTCTTAAGTACCCTCGCACCGAGATTCAATGCACAGACAAGAAATAGCTCTCCCCCCACCTTTTAAGACACAAACTGTGCGCACGTCTCATGCACTGTTCTGCACTGGCGCTCCTTCCTGTGAGCAGCGGCCGCACTCACGCTTCAGGCCGCAGTGGGCCATGCACGTGTGCAGTGCAGTGTGTGGGTGGGCACCTATGTTTTCTCGGCTTTTTTTGAGACAGAGTCTCACTCTGTTGCCCAGGCTAGAGTGAGTGCCGTGGTGTCAGCCTCGCCCACAGCAACCTCAAACTCCTGGGCTCAAGCGATCCTCCTGCCTGAGCCTCCTGAGTAGCTGGACTACAGGCATGCACCACCATGCCCAAATAATTTTTTCTATATATTTTTAGTTGGCCAATTAATTTCTTTGTATTTTTTTAGTCTTGCTCTTGCTCAGGCTGGTTTCGAACTCCTGACCTCAAGCGATCCTCCCGCCTTGGCCTCTCACCGCGCCTGGCCTATTTTCTCCGCTTTATGAACAACGAAGTAATGAATAACTAGGTACTTAAGTCCATGATTGTGCAAATATAGGCACAGCTGAAATTCCTAAATGTGAGGCATTGATAAATGCAGACTTAACGCATGAGATCTAGGGATATGTCAGTCCTTCGATAGTTACAAACAGCCAGGGACTGTATTTTCCTCCTGTACATAAACATCATTAGCTACTTGCCTCAAATTTGAGATACAAGAGATGTGATTTATGTGTTCCTTTCCGACAGGAAAAACGTGAAGTGCAGATTGCCCTTAATCTGCTTACTCTCCCAGCCGGTGTGGACTACTGCCTGGCGCGGGTTCCAGAGACCTGTCTAGCTCGACTCTCACAGCACACGTGCGGGGAACCTCTCCCTCAGTGCTGTCACTGGCAAAGCACACTTCACCGGGCGTGAAGGTCACTGTGAGAGCCACACTTCCTCCTGAATGACCCGCTGAGGCGTCACTGGGCGTAACTCTCTGGGAGGACACGCAGCCCCAGCAGGAGCCTTTCACACCTTCCTGCGGGGGCCAGCACCTCTACCTGGGGACTGCACCCCAACAATCAGAGATGCAGATGATGATTTACGCACAAGGATGTTCACAGCGTCGTAAGAAACAAACAGCTGTAACCAAATAGTAAAAAACAGGAAGTAAAATGTGGCAAATTTATATGATGGGACATTATGAAACGTATTAAAAATACTTCAAAGAGGCCGGGCGCGGTGGCTCTCGCCTGTAATCCTAGCACTCTGGGAGGCTGAGGCAGGCGGATTGCTCGAAGTCAGGAGTTCGAAACCAGCCTGAGCAAGAGTCAGACCCCGTCTCTACTATAAATAGAAAGAAATTAATTGGCCAACTAATATATATAGAAAAAATCAGCCAGGCATGGTTGGCGCATGCCTGTAGTCCCAGCTACTACTCGGGAGGCTGAGGCAGGAGGATTGCTTGAGCCCAGGAGTTTGAGGTTGCTGTGAGCTAGGCTGATGCCACGGCACTCACTCTAGCCTGGGCAACAAAGAGAGATTCTGTCTCGAAAAAAAAAAAAAAACTTCAAAGAATATTTAAGATGAGGAAAAAAATGATCCTTGTGCAATGCTGACTGAAAAAAGCAGCCTATAAAATTGAACACGGGATACAGCTAAAATTATATTTAAAAATTATGCATGTCTACATTAACACCCACTCATATATGTAGATACAGCTACAAACATAGTAATAAAAGGAAGGCAACATAAAAACAATAATGGTTAGAATGGGGAATAATATAGATTTTTTTCCCTTTCATATACTTAATCACCATTATCTTTATGAGGGAGGCAAAACACAGACAGCCCACAAAATGCATAAAGAGACTTATATGTGTTTTGGATTATCAGCCTCTGTAGGTCTCTCTACTTTTAACTACAAACTTCATTTAAAAAAATAAATGTGGTGTACAACATGTGCTAAAAAACACTGTCTTTTTTTTTCTAATTATAGTTTATATGCTGCTTTAAATGTCTCATAAAAATGTTAGAACATGAACCAACGGAGAATCAGAAAGAACATTTACTGCATTTATTATTCAGCATTCTGAGTGCATGAGGGCAGTAATTTTCTCAAATGCTTGACTAAACTAAAATGGAAGCATCACATTTTTGAAACAGAAAAGGATTTCTGAAGGCAGGGGCCAGTGAGGGCTGGCAAAGCTTCTGGGTAAATGGGAAGCTTGAGATATATTTTGTAGTTAAACGCCACATTTTAGTGTTTCTTTCATAATGCTAATTGAATTTCCTACTTGGAGTCTTAAAAGTAAAAAAATGAAGTTTTTCATTGAAGTCTGAGTCAAGGGCACCATTTTGTGCATAATTAAATACAGCACAACGGGAATTTGCATTAATTCAGAGTGAGGAAAGCCATCAATTTATTATGTGTCCTGATGGTAACTTAACAATTTCTACAGCACCTTAATGATTTTTTTTGTCTGTAACAATCACATTTATTAAACATATTAAACTTTAATTAGCTTTAGCAGATGTTATCCTTCTCCAGTGATCTGGCACTAAGAAGCTTCATAGCTTCTCAGTGCTGCCTGCGGCCTCTGCCCTGCACTCGCTCACCGAAAGACCTACCCGCCCGGCGTCTGAGTCTGACTCGGCGTGGCGGCGGCCCCTCCGCTAGGCGTGCTGAGCTAACAGGAACGCCTGAATATTAAGATGATTTCCCCAAATTTGATGTCTAACAAATGACAACTGCAAAAACATCTATCATGGAAAACTCAATTAAATTTCACATATCGTACATGTTAGATCATTGAAAAAACATCCAAATTAGGAAGACTGTCTCACGGCTTCCAGAAAAGTACAGTAACTCAATTGCAATGAACACAGAGATCCTTATAAGGGATAAGAGCATTTTCACTATTATTCTATTTGGGATTTTAAAAGTTCATGCACATCCCTCCACTTCCTTTCCCCCAACTCGAGGACACTTGTGCCGTGACGCTGCCTGGCGTGTTGCTGAGGGACAGACAGCTCCTAGACACCTGGTCCTTTCTCATTGCTGGCTCTGTCGCTATCAGAATGATGTCTGGGACTTGCTCCTTCCAGCAGAACTCCTCATCTTTACTGCTGCTTGAACAACTGGCATTAACTGATTAGCCAGGAGCTGACAACATTCTGGATCTTCCACTCTGTTCTGATGGGAACAGGTCCTGCAAACTTCCTTTCTTTTTTTTTTTTTTTTTTTTTTTTGAGACAAAGTCTCACTTTGTTGCCCAGGCTAGAGTGCTGTGGCATCAACCTAGCTCACAGCAACCTCAAACTCCTGGGCTCAAACAATCCTACTGCCTCAGCCTCCTGAGTAGCTGGGACTACAGGCATGCGCCACCATGCCCGGCTAGTTTTTTCTATATATTTTTAGTTGGCCAATTAATTTCTTTCTATTTTTTTTTTTTTTTTTGAGACAGAGTCTCGCTTTGTTGTCCAGGCTAGAGTGAGTGCCGTGGCGTCAGCCTAGCTCACAGCAACCTCAAACTCCTGGGCTGGAGTGATCCTACTGCCTCAGCCTCCCAGGTAGCTGGGACTACAGGCATGCGCCACCATGCCCGGCTAATTTTTTATATATATATCAGTTGGCCAATTAATTTCTTTCTATTTATAGTAGAGACGGGGTCTCGCTCTTGCTCAGGCTGGTTTTGAACTCCTGACCTTGAGCAATCCGCCTGCCTCGGCCTCCCAAGAGCTAGGATTACAGGCGTGAGCCACAGCGCCCGGCCCTCTTTCTATTTTTAGTAGAGACAGGGTCTTGCTCTTGCTCAGGCTGGCTACGAACTCCTGACCTTGAGTGATTCTCCCGCCTTGGCCTCCCAGAATGCTAGGATTATAGGTATGAGCCCAGCCAAACTTCCTTTCTTGAAACCAGATGTTTTTCTTACCACTAGGTTTGGTACTGCTTTGAAACAAAGTACTAGAAGCCTTGTCTATCATAATAAATGTCACTGATAAAACTACCTAATGGTATTAACATTTTAATAAAAATGTACTTAATGTAATGACTGTTTATATCATTAAATGGCAAAAAACTGTTCCTGGCCCCAGTACTCAAGCCACCTGCACATTCCCTATGTGTGCTTCTTGCTCCTCCAGCCCTCAAATAGCAAGGTGCCGGACGTCGCCGTCGGCCTGAGAGCAGACACGCAGCAAAGACGCGCTACCTCAGGTGTCACCTGGTCTTCAACACACGCTAGGGGCCAATTTCCACATCTGGTTACAAGGGCTAGTGCTTAGAGTTATAAAGTAGATATGCTAGTACTCAAATTTAAAAAGTAGATCCAACTATTTGTTTTGGGGGGAAGGAATTATACACTAAGACAGGAGTATCATTAAGTCTTTCTGGGTCGCTTTGTTTAGGGGTGTTGCTTGTAGACAGCACATTTTTTTCCGCCCTGCCTGAAAGTCTTTCTCTCTCTAGACCAGTTTACTCCGGTACAGTCATTGTGGCAACAGTTCAGGCTTCTTTCATGTTTATGTTTCCTATTTTATGATTCTAAATGTTAACCTTTATTTTCTATATCTGATAAAAATGGTTGCTTTTGTTTGTCTTGTTATGCATGATTATTTTAATCTCTAGTAATTTGTGAGAAATGATTTTATTTCTACTAATATCATTGAATAATATTATTCACTGATAGGTTTACATTTATATAAGTTTATTATTCTCTGCTTCCAAAACACAACAGTATCGACCTACCAGCCTCTCACACCACACCTTTTCCCATCTCTGTTTGTCACAGCTCTGGTTCTGAGGGCCCTTACTGGGATGCTGTATTAACCCATCAATGCTAATTTTTTAAAAAGCTGAGACAAGGTGTTATTCGCACACTATATGATATACATATTGGAATGTGCAACTCAATGGTTTTAGTAACATTATAGAGTTGTGCACCATCCCCAAAGTCCAGTCTTGGAATATTTCCATTTCCCTGAGAAGTTCCCAGTTTCACCTCTAACTTTCAAAGACAAAGGCAAATTGCATACATATGGAATTATACAACATGTAGCCTTTTGTCTTGCTTCTTTTACTTAGCACAATGTTTACAATGTTCATGCATGCTGTAGTATGTATCAGTAATTTATTCTTTTTTTGAGGGGGGGACAGAGCCTCACTCTGTTGCACGGACTGGAGTGCTGTCGCATCAGCCTAGCTCATTGCAACCTCAAACTCCTGGGCTCAACCGATCCTCCTGCCTCAGCCTCCCGAGTAGCTGGGACTACAGGCACGTAACACCATGCCCGGCTAATTTTTTCTATTTTTAGTTGTTTGGTTAATTTTTTTCTATTTATAGTAGAGAAAGGCTGTCTTGCTCTTGCTCAGGCTGGTGTCGAACTCCTGAGCTCAAGCAATCCTCCCGCCTCAGCCTTCCAAAGTGCTAGGATTACAGGCGTGAGACACCACACCTGGCCATTTATTCTTTTTAATTTCTGAGTATCTCCTATTGCATGGTATCATTTATGAGTTCATGGACATTTCAATTGTTTCCAGTTTTTGGCCATCATAGATACTGATGCTCTGAACATTCACATGAACACTGCGTGAACATGTTGTCATCTGTGTTGGGCACACTTCTAGAAGGGGAACCACCCTATTACACTGAGGCACATTCTTAGCATAACCTTCCTGCATTCACTGAACACTTCGAGGATACGAAAGAAAGGAAACCAAAGCGCATGCCAACTAAATGCAAGGCGTGGTCCTGGCCTGGGGAAACCCGCTCTGCGCAGGACGTCGTGGACAACGGCAAAGCACTGGAGCACGGTTGCTGTGCTCCACCCCAAGGTTTTGAATCAGTATGTATGAGTGGTGCCTGCAAGTGGTTTCTTTTTTTTCCTTCAAGGAAATTACACACCACTTTATTTCTGTGATATAAAACGGCCTTGCAGGGTGCTAGGATTACAGGCGTGCGCCACCGCACCTGGCCACTGCCAAAGGTATTTACAAGTCTCCCAGCAGTAGCTGGCAATGAGGAACAAGGAAAGAGCTGAACAGACGTCACGCAGCGGATCTAGCAGCTCCCTTTCCCGGCAACGGAAAAACTATGGAATGCTCCACAGACCTGTGTGCCACCTTTGTGCAGGGCTGTGCCACGCCTCTCTGCAGCGTTTCAGTTTTGGTGTACGCGCTGCCAAAGTGAGCACCGACATGCTCATTTCTAACCGGCCCTCAGGTGACACTGAGCTGCTGGTTTACCCAGCACCACACTCTGCGACGAGTGGATCAGATAACGTCAACTCCGCTCATCACGATTATGTTTCCTTACTTTTGATCATTTAATTGTGGTTATTTACAGGAATGTTCCTATTCTTAGGAACATGTGCTGAAACATTTAGGGAATAAAAAGATATGATGTCTTCAATCTACTCTCAAACGACCCAGAAAATACATAGATAGTGATAAAGTGAAATGTTAACAAACTGGTCAACGTGGGTTAAGTTTCTTGTCCAATTCTCAGTTTTCTATATGTTTAATTTCAAACTAAAAAGTTAAAAGAGTAACTTTAATTAGAAATATAAAATACTTAATATAACTTTCTGATCAAAGATTTGTTGAAAGTGAATGCGTATCTTTTAAGTTTCATAAGCACAAGTGATATAAAATGCGTATCTAACTTGATATTATTCCACAATATACAGATATACACCATTGTGTGTACTTGTAAATACTAACACTGCTTTAATTTATGATGAAATAGGAAATATTAGATGGCTTTCAAGAAATTTCAGTTGCCCAAAATAAGCCAAATTATATCAGATAAAAATTAATTTTCAGAGGTGGTAAAATGAGGCTGGGCACCAGAGCGAAGGACAGCCACTGGTCAGGACGGTGGCCCCCCCCCCCCGGGCACGTGCACTGCACCAGCACCTGCAGCTGTGCCCTCCTCAGTTCAGCAGTAAGAGGCAGAGACGCAGCACAGCCCTATAACACTGATGACCTGACACGACAGACAGTCTGTCCCACGCAGGCTTGTTCATGGGCAGTCCCGGCCACCACGTGCAGCTGTCACACAAACAGGCTAACTGTGAGCCCAACAAAAAGCAACACAAAATAAAACCAGTACTGGGATAAGCAGATAATAATGAACACTTAATGATTAAAAATCTAGCTGAAAATACAACATAGTGAAAAGTAATAAATTTGATGTTACAGAAAACCGCACACTATAAATATTACTTCCCTGAGAACAGAGTGTCCAACAAGACTTCCTATAACCCTACCAGATGTGCTGCTGCCTAACTTATTGTAATTCGGTTTTCGGAGCAAACAGCACAGAGGTTGCATACCTTAAACCCCAAGAGAGGCGGTCGAGAGCAGCTTGTTACAAACTTGAGCAATTTGCGCTTTTCCTCATCAGTGAAACCATCTACCACTCTCCAGAAGATCTTAATGACAGGATGATCAGCAGAGTAACCTCCTGTGAAGAAGCGAACAGATGTTTTGTCAGGGTTAGTAATAAGGCGCAGTCCTCCCTGGGTGTCCGTGGAGACTGCCCCAGGTGCCCTGAGGATGCCAACATCAACGGACGCTCAAGTCCCTTCTACAAAGTATCTAGTATTTGCATATAACCTGCACAAGTATTCCTAATATTTAAATCTTAAATCACCTCTCGATTACTTATAATACCTAATACAATGTACAGGCTATGTGAACAGCTGTTATGCCACGTTGTTTAGGGAATAATGAGAACAGTTCAGATACAACAATCCATTTTTCCCCGAATACTTTCAATCTGTGCTTGTTCAATTTGCCAATGTGGTACCACGGACATGAAGGGCCAATTGCAATCGCAAAGGCAGGATTCTCTGCGGGCCCCCCAGCCCCCGTACCACCCTGAAGGTGACGGGCAAAGTATAAGAGGGAAACTTGAGAAAGATCAAAGAGACAGAAGCCAGAATAAGGAATATCTGTCACCACAAGATGAACACCAGAAGATACTGCAAAGGAGTCTGTTTTTCAAGAACTATGCCGGTAGTTAAGAATAAACCATTGTTGAGTAGCAGTCTCTAAATAAGGGATTTACATGTGGTCAGATATCTAAAAACAGTAGTAGACAATGAGATTTTTATTTCTAATAGAGCTAGGTGTTTTCCCAATGTGATCTTAGTGTCTAAATTAATTTTATCATCTCTCCTTCTGATACTAACTTATTATCCGTTTGATAATAAGACCATGGCTAATAACCGATCCTGGCATATGATTAGACAACTATTCTAAAATTTACTATCTGCTACTTATAGCCTTTAATCTAGTTAAGTGCTTCCTAAAACTAAAATAATTGCTATATATTGTTCCCTCATTGTTAATATACTACAGAAATAACACCAATAAAATATCTTAAGTGTATTAACTGGCACCAAAATGAATATGATAATATTTTAAACCTATTTACTGGAATAGCAAAGATCATTAAAGGTATAAACTTTCAGTGCAGACAGGGTAATGCAAACAACCCAAGACAATTTCTTGGCAAAGGAAAGACGAGATTGATTTCATCTTCTTACACTTATGACTTGATAGTGGGACAGTGTGACCTTACGTATTATTTGCCTTTACATAGAGAGTTCAGATTTACAGCAATATGAATTCACTACAGCAAGGGAGCCACACACACATATATACACACACACATATATAAATAATTTTCAGCAGACTGTGCTTTGCAACCCTCAACACAATACAATTTTAGAACATTTCCATTCCCTCAAACAGAGCTCATTCTCGCCTCACAGCCACCACTGATCTGCGGTCTCTGTAACCGTGCACGTGGGTGCCCCACACACAAACCGCGTCCAACAGCACCAGGAAACTGGGCAGGGCTTTGTTTATTGTGGTAAAATATGTAACACAAAAGTCACCATTTAAACCATTTTTAAACGTAGTATTAGTGGTATTAATGACATTCTCACTGTTGTGCATCCATCACCACCGTTGGTTTCCGGCAGCGACAGTGTGAGCGTTGAGCAGTCACTCCTGCTCCTCCCCCAGGTCCCAGAACCACAAATCCACCTGCAGTGCCCGTGATGTTGCCTGTTCTGGGGACCAGCATAATAAGTTCAACCATCTAATATCCGTCCTTTTTTTCCTGGTTCATTTTGCCTAGCACAACGTTCCCAAGATTCACCCATGTCACATGTATCAAAACATCATTGCTTTTTTTTTGACTCCACAAACATTTGACTTTATCCCTCAATCCCTTTGATGCTAACAAGGACACACAGGCAGAAGACACAGGCCGGAATGGTGTGAAGCCTTGCTTTCTGGTGGCTTGTCACCTAACTCTGGTGACTCAAGGTCTGGCCTTGCCTCACGTCCGGTCACACACCGCCCAGGGGCCTTGCAGAGACGGGCGCCTCTTGTGTGGGAAGTTCTCGTGGTCAGCTTGCGCTGAGGGCTTGGCTCAGAGCACCTGGGCTTCTCTCCTGGCCTGCCACATACTCTGGGTCACTGCTGTGGACACTACTGTTTGGTCCACTCAGCACCAATCCCATTCCTACCATCATACATTTCTTTTTCTCTTCCTTAAGACTTAATATTCGATGGTATGTATACACCACACTTATTCATCCGTCCACTGCGGATGGACACCTGGGTTGTTTCCGCTCTGGCTCCTGAGAATAGCCTGCTAGGGACACGGGCGAGCTTGTTAGGGACACGGGCGAGCAGGCCTGTTTGAGTGCCTGCTGCCAACCCCTTCGGGCACATACCTGGGAGGACCACTGGACTATACGGTAATTCTAGGTTTAGGTTTTTGAAGAAACACTAAATTGTTGTCCACAGTAGCTATGTCATTTTACCTTTCCGCCAGCAATGAAGAAGCATTCCAATTTCTACACATCCTCCCCAATACTTGTTATTTTCTGTTTGTTTAATAACAGACACACTAAAGAGTGGTAAGTGGATCGCACTGTGGTTTTGATTTATGTTTTCCTAATGACTAGTGATGGCTCAGCACCTTTTTTTGTGCTTATTGCACATTTATATACCAATCTATGGAGAAATGTGTATTCAAGTCCTTCCTTCATTTTTGAATCGGGTTGCCGTTTTATTGAGAAGTTGTAAGACCCCTGCTAGATACATGATTTGTAAATATTTTCTCTCATGGTGTGGGTTGCCTTCACTTTGTTATCTTTTGAAGAATCAGAGTTTTTCTTTTATTTTTATCTTTTTATTTTTGAGACAGAGTCTCACTCTGTTGCCCGGGCTAGAGTGCCATGGCATCAGCCTACCTCACAGCAACCCCCAACTCCTGGCCTCAAGCAATCCTCTTCCTTAGCCTCCCAAGCAGCTGGGACTACAGGCATGCGCCACCATGCCTGGCTAATATATATATATTTTTTTAGACAGAGTCTCGCTTTGTTGTCTAGGCTAGAGTGAGTGCTATGGCATCAGCCTAGCTCACAGCAACCTCAAACTCCTGGGCTCAAGCAATCCTGCTGCCTCAGCCACTCGAGTAGCTGGGACTACAGGCATGCACCACCATGCCCGGCTAAATTTTTCTGTATATTTTTAGCTGGCCAATTAATTTCTATTTATAGTAGAGACGGGGTCTGACTCTTGCTCAGGCTGGTTTCGAACTCCTGACTTCGAGCAATCCGCCCGCCTCGGCCTCCCAGAGTGTTAGCATTACAGGCGTGAGCCACCGCACCCGGCCTCGGCTAATTTTTATTTTTTTTTTTTTGAGACAGAGTTTCACTTTGTCACCCAGGCTAGAATGAGTGCCCTGGCGTCAGCCTAGCTCACAGCAACCTCAAACTCCTGGGCTCAAGCAATCCTATTGCCTCAGCCATCTGAGTAGCTGGGACTACAGGCATGTGCCACCATGCCCGGCTAATTTTTTCTATATAATTAGTTGGCCAATTAATTTCTTTCTATTTATAGTAGAGACGGTTCGTCTTGTCAGGCTTAATCTGACTTGAAACGCCTCTTAAAAGCGAGGATTACAGGCGTGAGCCACTGCGCCCGGCTGTATCAAAGTTTTTAAATTCAAAAGTCTCTCTCACTGTGTTGCCTGGGCTAGGAGTGCCATGGTGAAAGCCTAGCTCACAGCAACCTCAAACTCCTGGGCTCAAGCGATCCTCCTGCCTCAGGCTTCAGAGCAGCAGGCTAGAGGCATGTGGCACCATGCCCGGCTAATTTTTCTATTTTATGAAAGACAGGGTCTCACTCTTGGTCAGGCTGGTCTTGAGCTCCTGTGCTCAAGCAATCCTCCCACCTCAGCCTCTGAGAGTGCTAGCATACAGGCATGAGCCACTGTGCTGGCCTTCACCTCTTTTCTGTGAAAATATTTTCACGTGCCCCCATGCATCTGATTTGCATGTGTTTTCTCCTCTTAAATTTTTTTTGTCATTTTAATTCACAGGCTCCATGTACATAAATAAGAGTAGAGGAAAAGTGTTTCCTCTGCTACACTCCTTCCTCCCATAAAAAAGAAAAAAAATAGTAATTTAACTTCTGGGCTTCTGCCATAAAATATCATAAAAATATAAATTTCTACATAGAAACATATAAAATTTTTCACTATAGTGTAAGATTAAATAAATTATGATGTATCTAATCTCATATGTTAACTGTAAGAAGAATAACAGGTTGAAAATATCATTACTGATGGTAAACATAAAATTTCGGAATATACAGTATAAATTACATATAACCAAAAAAAACGCATGAACATTTTGGAATAAGACAATATGATTAAAGAAACCACACCAACACCGCAGTGGTGGTTTTAGAATCCTGGAGTTAAGGGTGATTTGTTGAGCCAGGCGCTGTGCTGCTGAGGCGGGGCACCGCGGCTGTTCCTGGGTGAGATGGTGGCCCGGACTACAGGCACATTACCCCAGCCGTGACTGCTGTCTTTTTCTTTTCACTGTTCCCATATATTTACAATGAGGTCAGTTTAAATAAATAATACAAACACTTACAAATGCCCAGAAGACACCAATTCCCACCCAGAACGACGTCGTGATGGCTGGGCCTTTTCCTGCTCTGTGCTGAAGGGGCCCAGCATCGTTCTCCGGCTTACAGGCCATTTGTGTGGCTTTTTTGGGCTGTGGTTAAGACTTTTGCCTATTTTTGTAACTGGGTATTTTTTCCCTTATTATTGTAATTACAATATTTAATGAATTCTGGATACAAAGTTTTTGTCAGATCTATGTATTATGAATATTTTTGCACCAAATGTGGCTTGTTTTCATTTAAGAGTAGAAAGTTTTAAGTTTAATCAAAAAGCATACACTTTGATGAGGCCCAATTTATTAGTTTTTTTCTTTTACTATTATTACTGGGTGTGTGTGGCGGGGGCGGGGGAGCTGGCACTGTTTAAAAGCAAAAGACTAGGCCAGGCACGGTAGCTCACGCCTGTATCCTAGCACTCTGGGAGGCCAAGGCGGTCAGATTGCTCGAGGTCAGGAGTTCAAAACCAGCCTGAGAAAGAGCGAGACCCCGTCTCTACTAAAAATAGAAAGACATTAATTGGCCAACTAATATATATAGAAAAAATTAGGCGGGCATGGTGGTGCATGCCTGTAGTCCCAGCTACTCGGGAGGCTGAGGCAGCAGGAGCCCAGGAGTGTGAGGTTGCTATGAGCCAGGCTGATGCCATGGCACTCACTCTAGCCTGGGCAACAAAGCGAGACTCTGTCTCAAAAAAAAAAAAAAGAAAAGAAATTAATTGGCCAAAAAAATATATAAAAAAAATTAGCCAGGCATGGTGGCACGTGCTTGTAGTCCCAGCTACTTGGGAGGCTGAGGCAGGAGGATCCCCCACCTCAACAAAGTGGTTTGAACCCCCTCCCCAAAAGGAAAGAATCACACGTGCATTTCTCTGTAAACACCCGACGACACTAAGCTCGGTGGTCACTGACGCTGGGAGTGGCAGGAGGACGGTACACACGGAGACAGGAATGGAATGAGGCTCTGGCTGTGGCCTCACTACACATTCTGGGCTCTGAACCATGTCAGTCACCCCACACAGAAAATTATATGAAAAACTGCTTTGGAGACATGGTCGTCTGCAGGATTTTCAGAAAGAAGAACTACCAGTGAAAACCTACCTGAATAGTTTGTAAAGGACTTTAGGTCCTCTAGACTGATGGGAACTTGTGCACCAGAAATTAATACCTGAAAAAAAAAAAAGAGTTCAAATCATAAAACTTGATGTAGATTTTAAGAAATCATTTTCATTTCCTACAAGCACTGTGTCCTCCAGAGCTAGCAGGTCAGGTACCTGAATTTCTTGCTGGTCAAACATCCGGAGCCACTCGAGGTTGACGACGTTGGCCAGGCCCTGTCGGAAAGCCAGGCAGTGCTGGCGGATCTGCTTGTTCAGCCTGTAGTCGGCCACCAGGTGGATGTACGCAATCCGGTTGGCGCTGGTGACAGGGATGTCTTTCCCGCCAAATTTCAGTTCAACCACCTGTGAGTATAAGGCACACAGACATCAGAATCTCACAGTATGATGACAGGGTAAAACAAAAGCAAAAACTGTTTTAAAAAAACATGACTCATTGCTTTGTCAACAAGAATCTAAACACAAACTAATACCATTGGCACACACACACCGTTCCATGCAGATTCCAAGGCACACCTCTGAGGGTTCTCCACGGCTTAGCAACTTGCTCTGTGAGACTGACAAGGCTTCTTTCTCCAAAGTATTAGTATTAAGGAATGGTGCAGCAATGTAATCATGGCAATTTCATTTTAAAGACATTAGAAATCAGAAAGATAAAGATGTGAACCAAACGACCAATATAAGTCAGAAGAGAACAAAGGGATTCATTTCAGAGAAATAAAGGTTTGGTAAAACCATTACTCATACTTGTAAATATAAGCAGCACACACTTATCTTCATATTTTCATAATGTTATTACTACTGTAAAGGACTTCAATGATGAGTTAAAGGATAATGGTAATTACCAGAGATACCGGAGCGGCCAATCTCTCATGTATACTAACGGAGTTGCTAAGAACACTTTTATCAGCACATAGCCACACCCTCCTAGTCTGCGGTTTAGTGCAGGGTCAGGGCATGTTCCTATAAGGATCCCCAGGGTGCTAGGGAGACAAGCACCGTAGCAGAAACACAAGATCTGGCTTCTATTCCCTCTCCCTCCCTTGTCACTTTGCTCCTTGGACTTTGTTCCTCATTAATGAAGTGGTGACATTTGCTCCGTCTATCTGGGAATTGTTGCGCTCAAGTGAACTCATATATATAAAGCTGACTGGCAAAATATCATAGATAGAAGCATATAACCATAATCTGTAAGAGAGTATACTCTTTAAATTCTGTTTACTAGTACTGGGAAAAAACACAGCTGCATTCCTGAGGATGGGTGAGGATAGTTTGTGCCATCGATGAAGAACATATCAATGAAAACACTCCAGGGTGACCACATTCATGAGGCGGCTACAGCTAGTAGAAACCAAGAGACAGCTAGGAACAGGCTCACTGTGCCTGCGAAGTCAGCAGCAAACGTCTGGGGGCAAAAACAGATGCTTCTTCACCTGTAGATTATGGGAAAACTGTAAATAACCCCCCCATGTGCTCACAGCCTCCGGCCCTCCTGGTAGCTTCTGCATTCTCAGAGTAACAAAAACAATTCCTCTGCCTCCGGACAACAGCACTTATATCCCAATTTGTTGCCACTTTATAGAAAGGCTATTTCAAAACCTGCTGAGGAGCTCTACTTAAGCCATTCTGTATCTTAAAGGTTTGCTGGTTCTCATTTTATATAGCTTTAAACTTGAATGTTAAACTTGTCAGGTTTGCTTCTTTTAATATTTCACATTTTAAATGACTATTCAATTATTCTTACTAATTCACTTTCTTAGTTTTGGAACCATCAAGTCTAAGGATGGGCTTTCAAATCCATTGTCTCACTCTGATTAAGGGCTGTGCTCATTACCTTAATTCCTCTGCCTGCACTCTGCTGACAGTCCATCTGTTAGCCAAGCCTCAGGGGGCTGTTATACTCCAATGTGTAAAACACCACCCTTCCCTTAAATGGATTAAAGGCACCTGATAAACGATGGTGCACTTGTGTGACTTGGAAGACAAAGGACCAGGAAGTTACCAGTTAAGGAACTTCCCAGGCTCCCAATTACCCTGCCCGACCAGACAAAACCAACGTTTCCAATAACTTTAAAATGGTTACACTGCTTTTAATTTAAAATCCTCTCTAGCTAAACCTAAACAACTATGTATATGTCTAAAGAATGCCAGACATGGCAGGGCACGGTGGCTCATGCCTGTAACCCTAGCACTCTGGGAGGCTGAGGCGGGCGGATTGCTCGAGGTCAGGAGTTCGAAACCAGCCTGAGCAAGAGTGAGACTCCGTCTCTACTATAAATAGAAAGAAATTAATTGGACAACTAATATATATAGAAAAAATTAGTCAGGCATGGTGGCGCATGCCTGTAGTCCCAGCTACTCGGGAGGCTGAGGCAGGAGGATTGCTTGAGTCCAGGAGTTTGAGGTTGCTGTGAGCTAGGCTGACACCATGGCACTCTAGTCTGGGCAACACAGTGAGACTCTGTCTCAAAAAAAAAAAAAAGAAAAAAAGGAGAATGGAATGCCAAACATGTGCTCAAATTTCACATTTGAGGGGCAGATTTAAAATCCCCTTTAAATACAAGCAGAGAGCTGGAGCCATTCTAGTGTCAAGCGCTGTCCCTCACCCTCCTGAAGATCTCCCATGGCACCAGGGGCCCACAGGCCTCAGAGGACACACGACCTGCTTACCATTTAAGCCTCCAGCAACTCACTCCCCTCTTCTGAGATAGGAAGGGTCCTGGGAACTGCCTAAGGCCACACAGCAAAGCAGCCCACAGTTTCTGCATAACAGATGATTATTTGTGGGTCCTTCTTAAAACCCTTAGCATTTTCCTTAAGAAAGATGCCTAAGTAAATTAGTCTAAAATAAAATTTCATGTTCGTTATTAAACAGACTAACACACAGCCAAATTGATTACACTGAAGAAAACAAATTTGAGAGCAGCACCATTATTTTAAAAGGGAAGAGTAATTAATACATCTTGCCAACATAATGAAGTATTTCCATATTACAGATCTTTAAATAATGATAGTTCATAAATTTAAGCCTGCATAAAGGAATACCTTTTTATATGTACTTCCACAGAAATCCTTAAGATCACTCCTAAAATTAGGTGTTTTACCAGTGAATTTCTTAATTTTCTAATTAGGATCTTTAGTATAATTACTCTTATATATTTTTTTTGAACAGAGTCTCGCTCTGTTGCCTGGGCCAGAGTGTAGTGGCATCATCATAGTCACAGCAACCTCAGACTCCTGAGCTCAAGATCCTCCTGCCTCAGCCTCTCGAGTAGCTGGGACTATGGGTGTGTGCCACCATGCCCAGCTAGTTTTTGTATTTTTCTCAGAGACAGGATCTCACTCTTGCTTAGGTTGGTCTCGAACTCCTGGCCTCAAGCAATCCTCCCGCCTCGGCCTCTCAGAGTGCTAGGATTACAGGTGTGAGCCACGGTGCCTGGCCTTGTGTAATTATTCTTATGCATTAACATCTATAATTTCTTAACTCTGTGGGAATTTCCATGAATAATTGGAACATCTTAGTGTCACATTTTTGCTTTTAACAGATTCCAGTATTATCAGTGATGTTTTAATGGAATGCTTTCACATATGACATCTCCCTATTACCATCTATTTTCAGAAGAAAAAATGGGAAATACTCCCATTAGCAAAGGCCTTGGACAGGTCATTATAACACTCAGTGTCCTAAGGTTTTTTTTTTCCCCTTTAAGACAGAGTCTTACTATGTTGCCCGGGCTAGAGTGCAGTGGTGTCATCATAGCTCACAGCAACCTCAAACTCTTGGGCTCAAGCGATCTTCCTGCCCCAGCCTCCTGAGTAGCCAAGACTACAGGCATGTTCCACCACGTGCGGCTAATTTATTCTATTTTCAGTAGAGACAGGATCACATTCTTGCTCAGGCTGGTCTCGAACTCCTGAGCTCAGGCAACCCTTTCACTTCACCCTTCCAGAGTGCTAGGATTACACGTGTCGGCCACTGTTGCCCAGCCTCGTCCGGAGGCTTTTGTTACATTTAAAAATCATGCCACTAGGTGGTGGTGCAAGGCAACGGCAGCCTGCACCATCACCATGTGTAGAAAATTTGCTTACAATAACAACAAACCTTCTACTTCATCTAGTTTCTCAAAAAAAAAAAAAAAAAAAAAAAAAAAAAAAAACAAACAAACCTCACTCTGCAAAAATCATCTTAATTTTGTATGGTTGAGACTTTAGTTCTATGGTATGGAAGAGAAGGTTAAAAAAACAGCAACTAGGCCAGGTGTGGTGGCTGACACCTGTAATCCTAACACTTTGGGAAGCTGAGGAGGGAGGACCACTGGAGCCCAGGAGTTGGAGGCTGCAGCAAGCTATGATGATGCCACTGCACTTCGGTCCAGGCAACAGAACAAGACTTGTCCCAAAAAAACAAAACAGAACAAAACAAAACGCTACTAAATTACAAATGAAATCAGGTTCCATACTTCTCATTCCTATTTTATAACACTTTGATGCTCGTCTCAGGAATGCCAAAAGGTTATCTAATAAGTATTACACAAAGAGGCAGAAGGCCTACCTTCCTTTAGTCTGACCTAGTTTTACTCTGAACCTATTTCTGAAAGTGGCTTTGAAGGCTAATAGACTGAAAATTCAAGTTCCAAAAAAGACGACCATTATCCAGAATGTTTAGATGCTAGGCAGCATAAACCTCTGTGTGTGCTTTTTAATTCTGAAGACATCTCTCTGGTGTACAGACCGTTACTACCCAGCAGCTCTGCAGCTTAAGGAGGAAGCCCCCAGTAAGGATCGAAATCTTATTTTCCTGAGAATTCTCAGTACAGCAGAATATTACGACTAAAAAGAATTAATATCTCAGTGGGATATCACTTTATACTCATTATGATGGCTATTTTTAAAGAAGAGAAAGACAGAAACGGAGGAAAAAGTGGCGAGCAGCGAGTGTCACCATGGAGGACGTGGAGAAGCCAACCCCGTGCACCGCAAGAGGGGACATATAATGGCAGCTGCTGTGGAAAACGGTCTGATGGCTCCTTAAACAGGTAAACACAGAAATGGGGCATGAACCAGCAATTCCACTTCTAGATACACACTCTTGTTAAAAAAGAGACAAGAGTCTCACTGTGTTGCCCAGGCTGGTATCCAACTCCTGGCTTCAAGTGATCCTCCCATCTTGGCCTCCTGAAGTGCTGGGACCACAGGCATGAGCCACTGTGCCTAGCCTCTATATACTCAAAAAAACTGAAAACAGGACAAATTTTGTAAAATGTTGTAATGAGTATTTTTTAAATAAAAGTACATTTAGCTACAATTTCCCATTTTCCCTATGTATGGTGACTTTTGGGACACCCTGTATATCTGCTTCTCTTGTTACAATGTGTACTCTCTTATAATTTTTTAAAAAACAAAAACTGCATTAATTTGAACTTGCTCAACATGTGGTTATCATAATAAAATGTTAGTGCCGTGACCTAGGGGTTTGAGCTGGGGATTATCCTGCGTGGGTCAACATATTTTCAATGAGTCATTTTAGCTTTCAGATTAGGGACGCGGAACCTGGATGTGAAGCAAGTCCCAGATGCTATCAATTCATCAATAAATTGCTTAGTACACTGTACATGAATGTTTGTAGCCCTATCATTCATAATAGCCAAAAAGTGGAAACAACTCAAATATCCAGCAGCTGATGAAGAGCACGTGGTGGTGTATCCGTATGACGGAACATCACTCAGCAGAGAAGAAACCAAGTCTTGACACACGCAGCAGGTGAAGGTGAGGGTCACAGAGTCCGTGGTGTGAGGCATCCAGACATGCGGACGCAGGGGCAGGAGGCGGGCTTGGGGGCCCAGGTGGGGTGGGGTGGCTGCTAAAGGCACAACTTCTCTCTGGAGTTAAGACGATATTCTAAAACTGGTTGTAGTGACCATGGCCGCACAACTCTATGAATACACTAAAAACCACTGGACTGTACACTCTAAGAGGGTGGATTTCATGTTATGTGAATTATATCTTAATAAAGCTATGAAGAAAATAGTTCATGGCCGGGCGCGGTGGCTCACGCCTGTAATCCTAGCTCTCTGGGAGGCCGACGGATTGCTCGAGGTCAGGAGTTCAAAACCAGCCTGAGCAAGAGTGAGACCCCATCTCTACTATAAATAGAAAGAAAGTAATTGGCCAACTAATATATATAGAAAAAATTAGCCGGGCATAGTGGCACATGCCTGTAGTTCCAGCTTCTCGGAAGGCTGAGGCAGGAGGATTGCTTGAGCCCAGGAGTTTGAGGTTGCTGTGAGCTAGGCTGATGCCACGGCACTCACTCTAGCCTGGGCAACACAGCGAGACTGTCTCAAAAAAAAAAAAAAGAAAAAGAAAATAGTTCAAATCTCCAACATGGGCCTTTCTTTTTAAAAACGGGTATGAATGACAAGAGCAACCAGAGGGACAAGGGACAGGAAGCCCTGATGTGAGTGTCAGAGCAGCCAGAGTCACTCGGAAGGCAGGAGCGAGGACGGCACCCCCAGCCCCAGGGCTCCTGTCCAGAGGTGCCAGCTGGCCACTCTCAGAGTAGGAACCAGACAGGACAGGAGGCATGATCACAGCCACAAGGCCATCCCGCCGGAGCAGCGCTCTGCACCGGGCAGGCCGCACCGCCAGGGAGCCGAGCACGGTGCACAAAGCATCTCAGGCTCCTCCGAACTCCTACCTCTAACTCCCAGCTACACTTTCTTCCAAAACGTGCAAGAGCCCAAACAATGCAACAAGACATGCTTTCACACAGAGGAATCAGCTTCCTCACCGCCACGGGCAGGGCCGTCCTCACCTGTGCCTCGCCCAGGTCGTTGTTCACCACGGTGAAGTTCAGCCCCAGCTCCTCCACGTCGTCCTCGTAGCTCTTGAGGAACAGCAGATTCTTATAGACCTCGGGGTCCAGGGAGGCCAGGTGGTGGATGTCCACATCCGCGCTGGTCCCCAGCAATTTGGAGAGGAAAAAGCCCGCAAAGGGCAGCTCCACCAGCATGTTTTCATAGAGAGCCTTCAAGTAAGACCAACGAACAGTGATTAGCATCTAGACTTTTTTTTCATGCTTTCTACAAATAAAAAACATGCGTTCGATTTAACATCTAGCAGAACTGTAAGATCGCAGATACTATTTCTCCCGAATGACGACAGTGGACAGAGGACAGTGGAAGCTAATGCTCAGCGAGCATTTGCCACGTGCCACGCTGCGGTGCAAGCATTCAGCGAGTCGGAAACCCTCCAGCAGACTGTGTAGGGGTGAAATCACAGAACACCAACACCTATGGGGATTCTTCTGTCCAGATGCAGTCGCGCTTGCTGCCCGCGCTGGAGTGCGGTAGCTACTCACGGATGCGCTCCCACCACTCATCAGCACTGAGGTGACCTGGTGGCCACCGCTCCCAGCAGGTCATGTACTGACGTTCCCAGCTAAGTGCAGATGGCTGACCTGCACAGCACACTGTGGCCCAGCACCCCTGGGCTCGAGCAATCCTCCAACAAATGGGACCTTTAAGAGCCAAATCGCTCATGCGACATGGAGGTTGGTAAATGTTTTCCGTAAAGAGACAGATAGTATCTCAGGGTTTGCAGGGTTATTAGTTTCCTAAGACTGCTTTAACAAATCATCATGAACTGGGACATTTAAAACAACATACACTATTGCCTCACAGTTCTAGTGGCCAGAAGTCCAAGACCAAGGTGCCGGCAGGGCCCTTCTCCCTCTGAAGGCTCTAGGGGAGGATCCTTCATTGTCTCCTCCGGCTCCTAGTCTCCCCGTAATCCCTGGGGTTCCATAGTCTGTGGCTGTGTCACTCCACACCGTCTCTTGACATGGCTGTCCTCCTGCTCTCTGGTGTGAAGCTCTTCTCCTTTCTCTTTTAAGGACACCAGTCACTGGATTTGGGACTCGCCCTACTTCAGTATGACCTCATCTTAACTTGGTTACGTTTGCAAAGACCCTATTTACAAATAAGGCCACATTCATAGGTACAACAGGGTGTCAGGACTGGAACACAGCTTTGTGTGGCCACAGTGCAGTCTGCGGTAGCAGACCTTCCCCGCCACGCGGTGTGCGAGCAAATGAGGGCTGCAGTGCTTCAACCTGGGTTTCATGGAATTTTCACATGTCAAAAATGTTACTGATGTCTTTACTGTGAGTTACTGTAAAGAACTTTGTATCTAAGAATTTCAAAGCATAATTATCTGCAAACTTACTATTATTTTTATGAGACAAGGTCTTGCTATGTCACCCAGGCTAGAGTGCAGTGATGTCGTCATAGCTCACTGCAACTTCAAACCCCTGGACTCGAGTGGTCCTTCTGCCTGAGCCTCCAGAACAGCTGGGATGACAGGAGCATACCACCACAGCTGGCTAGTTAACAAAAACTTTTTTATATAGATGGGGTATCACTATGTTGCTCAGGCTGGTCTAAAACTCCCGACCTCAAGCAATCCTCCTGCGTCAGCCTCTCAAATGCTAGGATTACCAGCATGAGCCACTGCACCCAGTCTATAATTATTTTTTGAATTTATTTATATCAAAGTGTAATTTAAATATAGTAAAACGTACACAACAACTTCACATACAGCTTGATAAATTTTTTGATTTGATATTGCATAGTGACCACAAAGATCAAGATATAGAAACTTCATATCCCCACTGCCTAAGTTGCTTTCCAAATTGGAATGACTTTTTCATTACCACCAGCAATGTGGGAACCCTCACCAATCATCATCACTATTTTTTTTTTTTTTGGAGACAGAGTCTCGCTCTGTTGCCCTGGCTAGAGTGCCCTGGCGTCAGCCTAGCTTACAGCAACCTCAAACTCCTGGGCTCAAGTGATCCTCCTGCCTCAGCGTCCCGAGTAGCTGGGACTACAGGTGTATACTACAATGCCTGGCTAATTTTTTCTACTTTTTTTAGTTGCCCAGCTAATTTTTCCTATTTTTAGTGGGGATTGGGGTCTCTATCTTGCTCAGGCTGGTTTCAAACTACTAATCTCATGCAATCCTCCCACCTTGGCCTCCTGGAGTGCTAGGATTACAGGTGTGAGCCACCACGCCTGGCCACCAATCATTACTATTATCAGTCTTTTGGTTGGTGCAATGGGGTATCTCACTGTGGTCTTAATTTGCATTTTCCCTGCATTTCCCTTAACTGGGGTTAAATCAAGTGCTGGTGAGTAAGTAGATCTGTATTAATCTCCAGAGATCCCATACCAAAATAAGGTGGGAGGTAAAATTATGAAAGGTTACCAACATAAAGTCAGGTTTCACGTGGCATGATAAATATTTCAGTGGCCTACGGATATAAAATACAAGAGGGAATCGGAAATATGCTGAACTTTTCAAAAACATTCTTAGTATTTTATTCTAACAGACAATTCACTTGGAAGCTCAACAGTCTTTAGTGTGAAAACTTTTTTTTTTTTTTTCTCACTTTGTTGCCCAGGCTAGAGTGAGTGCCGTGGCATCAGCCTAGCTCACAGCAACCTCAAACTCCTGGGCTCAAGCAATCCTTCTGCCTCAGCCTCCCGAGTAGCTGGGACTACAGGCATTCGCCACCATGCCCGGCTAATTTTTTCTATATCTATTAGTTGGCCAATTAATTTCTTTCTATTTATAGTAGAGACGGGGTCTCGCTCTTGCTCAGGCTGGTTTTGAACTCCTGACCTTGAGCAATCTGCCCACCTCGGCCTCCCAGAGAGCTAGGATTACAGGCGTGAGCCACCTCGCCCGGCGAAAACTTTTCTAATAAAGGTAACCATTACCATATCTTGAATGCTTACCATGTGCCAGACACAATGCTAAGCATGTAGTAAGACATTAATTATCTTATTTCCATTTGGTCTATTTGGACAATTTTATAATTTATGGTAAAAAAAATGGATGCAAACAGAAAATCTGAATTTCCTCTATGAATGCTGCACTTGCTAGACTATGTCTAATCTACAGAGAGATAGCTATGTATTTCCAGTGATCCTACAAAATGCTCTCTCCCCGGTGTCCTCAGGTCAAAGTGGTTTAACTACCCTCACCTGTCAAGTGGAGAACTTGAGGCCTAGTTTAAAGCAAGCAGCCCTCCCAGCAGCGGGGTCAGGAGCCCTCCTCGCAGTTGGCAGCGTGGCGCTGAGACCGTGCCCGAGACTGGGGGACCCCCGCAGGAGAGCGGGTGAAGGCTGGGCTAGCCCTGCCTTACAGGTAGCTACGATGAGCTGTGCTCCAGGAGACATGCTGGACACACCTGGATCCTTTTTATCCCACTGATTTCAGATTCAAGTGCTACTGTGCTACTCCTGAAATACCGAAATAAAAACAAAACTTCATCTGTGGGGTAATCATTCATCCACGAGACTGTCAACTCGGGAAATCACCTTTGAACCTGAGCGGCCATCCACCACTGGACCACGCTGGGCACACTCAGCAGTGGGCTGAGGGTTTACTAGGACAGATCTGAGTGACTTCACACGAGCGTGAACAGAGTGCTGGGACTGTGTGCCTACAATCTCCCGGCAAAGGAGAAACTGCTCATCTGGGGCGTGAATCCTTTGTTTAGCCATAGCTTCAAGCACTGTGACAGTATTTAATCATCTATTTCATATGTAAAGACTATAAACTCACTAATCCTTAAACACCCTAAAACCTACACAGTCAAACACAGAATGTGAAGATACTCCTTGAAATCTGCATTTTAAAGACTCACCCACTTGGGGAGTCCCAGCACTTGGCGAGGCCAGAGTAGGAGGACTGTTTGAGGCCAGGAGTTCCAGACCAGCCTAAGCAACACAGGGAGACCCCATCTCCACTAAAAATAAAAAAAAAATAGCTGAACGTGGTGGTACAAGCCTGTTATCCCTGCTACATGGGAGGCTGAGGCAGGAGGATCACTTAAGCCCAGGAGTCTGAGGCTGCAGTGAGCTATGATCTCACCATTGCACTCCAGCCTAGGTGGCAGAGCAAGACCCTGTCTCAAACTAATAAACAAGCAGACAAACAGGGAGACTAGCCCAGCAACGTGACTGGAGGAAACCAGAGAACAGTTGCTGACGTTCTCCCCAAAGTACAGGTCTAGAATGCCACTGGATTCTTGCGGCATAAAACCACCAACAGACATTTGGAAGAATGCTTTTTTCCAAGGCTGCTCAGCGTAAGGGGCTTGGGCTCCCATCTGATGACTACAGACAGCACAACACTCCCCTACACCAAGACCACAGCTGTTCTTTGCCACGTAAACTTAAGTGTTAGGTCTTTGTGCTTTTATTTCTGATTTGAAGACTAATGATTACCTAGTTAATTTTGAGAAGATGGCAAAAAAAGACTTCTTAATGAGACAATGAATAACAAAATGGCAACTAACATGGAGCCATCTACTGATAATGTAGAGCTGTTATGAAAAGCCACAGTTTGCTTAAAGTTAAGAATGGTTAATACTATTAACCTGGACCACTTGTAAATACCATTACTTCTAAATGAATGATGAGTTCAAAGCCAAGGAGAACATTCTGCATAGAACTGCATGATTGATTCCAGGTGTTGAAGAAAAGCCCTCATTTATACAGTGGACTTTAAAAGTAAACTGGAAGTATAAATCATTTGATGTTCAATATATAAGGTCATTGTTTGCCATTTCTGCATTAGTAACAATAAACCAGTAAAACTGGTTAAATATATCAGGGCTACCTGAATTTTAAACAGAAATCCCACTGTGACTCATAAAACGTAAATGCATAGGTATAATTTTTTACATAAGGCAGGTTCAAACCTTCAGAGCATTTAATATACAAGCACTAATAAATGATAGCACTAAAAACTATGATTGCATCAGCTAAATGGATTATAAATTAAATTTCCATAATGTATGCAACTGAGAAACAAATGTAAGCATAAATCAAGGTATTTTCTAAACACAGGTTAATTATACAACTTCAAAAACTGCCTATTTTTTATGTAAAATAATCCACTTAGCATTTTTCACACTGGCCTTAATTCTCAGCCCACTGCACCACACATGTTCCC